TGAAGCCATAATGCTTAGATGTGTTGATGGCTGCATCGTTACCAAACCTGTGAAGTTTTGGCCCGTTTGGAGCATTTTCACTGAAGTTATGAGAAAACCGTGTTTCATGGCGAGCATTGCGTTGCCATGTCAGCGGCATTTGAAGAAATCTCACAACTGTCCCATATATGTCTTCACGGCTGGAGTGTTAGTTAGCACACATGTGAAGTTTGAGCACTTTTTGAATATTTTCATAGGAGTTAATGTATAGCGATATCGTCTTTTATGGCGAGGGATGCGTTTCCATGGAAACGGCATATGATGACACCCCATAATTGTCGTAGAGCTGTTGAGGGCAGGACCATTTAGCATTATCTGAAGTCTGCTGCCAGCATGTCAGTTGGAGTTATGACATCATCGTGTTCCATGACACAGGTGTTTATATTTGAGCTAACGAGGTGGCCAGAGATCAGAGGTTTCCATTGTTCTGAATGAGAGATAAACCTCTTACATGTGAACGTTTTGTTGAAGAACCGTAACAGATATCGGTGAAATTTCAAAGCGTGAGGCATCTCAAGGACCTTGAGTATCTGAAGTGTGCTTTTTGTGTACTTTCGGGTCAATAATGTGGCCTTTTTGGCAGATTAACTAAAGGTGTGCGGCTGCTACCCTGAGGAAATATCAGCCTGAAATTACAATGGGCTTTAATGGAGACATGTTGAACGTTTTTGTCACTTCATGCCCTCAAGAGGCATTTTGTTTAATTATTTTTCATTTTTCAAGCTACGAGATGTTTTCCTACGTTTGTCATGAAAAAGAATGTCTCAGGAATGTAGGGTTTGGGAATTGCAGTTTTAAAAAAATATATGAAGGCAAATTTCAAGATTTCCTACACTCTAGCTGTGACATCACCCACTCTAGTTAATGTTAAAATCTGAAGAAGGCCTCTGTACCAAGGTCTGAACAATGTTTAATATCTCTAAAAGTAAGAATCAGATTGTGTTACACGAATAATGTCAGAAAGATGTGTAACATTTTAAAGTTGGAATGAGGTTTCTGAGTGAAAGTATGAATGAACAGTTAGCAGTTGAAGTTGCATGAAGATTTGTTGAAGTCTGAAGAATTTCTCCATTGACTTCAATGGTTAAAAATGTGATGAATTATGGGATGTATCTCTGGAATTATGAACATTATGAATGAAACAAGTAATAGCAATCGATTCCCGACCGAGCTGAACGTTTTGATGTTTGAGCAGAGTTTCTGCGATGTTCAATGCGGGAGGAGAAGACCGGCAAAATAACGTGTGGAATAATAAGAATAAAGAATTTTGTGCGTAGAAGAACAGATGGAATGCTGTTAACAGCATTCCCACTAAATAATAATAAGTCTTCACTGAATAACCAATTTCAGATGTTTGGCTTCCTCTCCTCACCTGTGGTTAGGCCTGATGCCTGTTTCATTTCCTCTATTTCTTCAGTTCTTCAAGACTGCAATGAATTTATCTTTGTAAAATACATTTGTAAACATATTGGAGTCATTTTTCTCAGTTATTTGAGATTATATATGCATCTATGAAGAAACACATAGTTGACCTCAAATACATTGAATGCAGTCTAGGACACTCATTCACATACATGTTCATATTGAAAAGAAAAAGGGAGAATAACTGGCTTCTAACCATGTAGAAGGAATTATTATCTGTAGCCTATACACACAGTAATGAGTTATGGGCAGTAGCCTTATAGAAAGTTATTAATGACTCTCAACTCGATCAGCTGCAACATTTAAGTTATATATACATTAATGCATCAATAATAAACATACAAAATACAATTATTTTTTCAAAAATGTGTATTTGTACTTTCACAAAAATAGACATTGTAATGCCTGACTTGGATACATATTCAATAATGTGATATCATATCAGAGTAATTCTTCCACTATGTCTATTACAAACAAATACAATTGCCTTGACGTAATACCTTACCGCAGTGTAATATCAATTTAAGTGTTCAAATGTCCTATATTCTGGTCGCCATTAATACACAGGTGAGGGTCTAAGTTATCTTTACGCAGACACATAACAAATGAATTTCCGGTCGTTGAATGCAGTTTGGTTTGCTGTTTATTGAGAGTTATTAGAAATTACAATACCAAGGTTGATGAGTTGTGGTAGCTGTGAGCATCTGTCTGCTTAGAACACTTTGCTCTCTCTATTCCTGTGTCCTGTGCTTTTTCCAGTAACCTATGACCCTATTTATACACCCTGCGCCGACAACAAACACAAACGGCTCCTACATACAGTATAATAACTATCCATAGACTGTACATAAAGGAATTATTTTACTACTAGACAATATTCATAGAATGGTCAGAAGGGGGCGCTAGGGACGCAGCACCTAAATATAATAAGACGAAGAAGAACAAAGAAGAATCATGAAGTGAGGAAGAAGCAGAAGAAGAAGAACTGCCGGGTACTTCAGTTGTCCGGGAAACCCGCCTCGTAACCCGCCTTTGAATGCTTTTCTGCTGATAGGCGCTTTTTCTATGCGGATACATTTGTGAACCTGGGCGGATTTCACTCAGCGAAACATATGATAACCTTTGGGACACGAGAAATAAGATATACAGTGTTTAACATTAGCATAATAAGCGGTGTGTAGCCGCGGTTGAAGCTTATAGTCAGGCGGACTTCAGCTGAAATCCAACATGAGCCAACAAGCTGCGGCTCTGCAGAACTACAACAATGAACTGGTCAAGTGTAAGTGATTTATTCATCTTTTTAATAACTCTAAATACTTATGTGTGGGATATACACCAGTCGTTTTTGAAACAACGTGATGCTGGTGACAGTTTTGACGTTGTGCAGAATTCGGAAATGCATCTCAGAGCAGGTTTCACATGTAAATGTCACTTTAGGTCTCACTTTGTAGTTTCACGCGTTTTCAGTTTTCTCTTCTCCTTGAACTGTTCTTGAAGCTTCTTTGACTGGATAGTGCTGTCCAATCTGATTAACCGTTCCAGATTATGTTCTTCTCCGAGACCTGGAGATCAACCTTTAACCTCTTGCAATCCCAATAGTGCAACTGAGGGCTTAAATATATCATTTTATGACGTGGAGCAGGTTTTAAAAGGGTGTTATGTGTCGATCACCCACCCAAAAACACAAACAAATGTGTTTTTAGTTGAGAAAAACTCATGACTGAAGTAAAACGGGCCACCTGTCAGATGCTGGTTGCAAAACACCAGGCATGTTACACACTTTCTGATTGGTTCAAATCTTGCATTGTTATGCATTGAATATAATATGAGATATCAATAAAATATATAATTTAACGTGATTCAAACAGGGGACATCCGTTAACTTAATGATATAAAATGGGTAAATAAAGGAAAAACACTCAAGGTAACTCTAAAAGAAAAAGAAAACCATATTGTTGATGAACCTGCTACTATATAATAAACCATTATTCTAAAAATCTTTGTGTGATTTAGCATTAAAAACCTCGTAATCATGCAGGATGGTTTGTCACTAAGCTGATCCAGTGAGTCTCTGGTGTAATAACCCTTCTTTTGTCTCCGTCAGGTATGGAGGACCTGTGCTCCAAGCGGGAGGAGTTGAACCGTCAGATCACGCAGGAGGAGGTGGAGAAGGATCGTCTGCAGCACGACGTCCGCGTCCTCACAGAGAAGCTGAGCCGAGTCAACGAGAGCCTGGCTCACAGACTCGCCGCCCGCGCCAACTTCGACCAGACCATCGCAGAGACCCAGGCTGCGTACACCAAGGTGTGTGTGGGGACCAAACACTCTATCGTGGTGACTGATCCACATATGTTTCTTGTTGAGCAGCACTGAACATGCAGAAACAATCCTTATGTCAATATCTATATCTTTGTTTTTAAGATAGACAAATATATTAGTTCTTTTAGCTACTTGTGAAACAGTGAATGTGTAATTGATAAGTAATAATTGACCAAAACATTGTTATAAAAGGTTGATATTCCCTTGGGTTTTACCTTTTCTTCTAGCTCAGTCTTTTAAAAAATCACATTTGAAGTTGAAGGAAAATATGTTCTTTAAAGACGAAGGTTTTTTTTCCCACTTCATAGAAAAACCAGTCCCCAAAGTATGCGTTTGGTTATATCAGAAATTAAATAAATACTTTCATACAGTATAATGCACATCTGTGGAGATTGTCTTGTCGGTTTTAGAGCTGTAATGATGATACATTGATGATTTAATCATAAACGATCATCAAATAAATTAGTTTAAAGCAACAATCCCACATACTTGCTGTTTTCAGCCTTCCAAATATGGACATTTTCTGCTTATCCATGTTTCCTTTTATTGTAAATTGAATATTTTGCTAGTTTAGCCTTAGCAAATACAATGTACTGTCAATCTGAGTCCCCCAGTCTGGGAAACAATTACCCTCACAATGTTCACATGTTTATTGCTTACAGGCTTATACCGACTGCTGTCTTTCAGTACGCAATTATTTTTTACGTTGTCCTTGTTCAGCAGTTTCATCTCCCCACTTACTGACGCTGAACTCCCTGCGCTCTCCCACTAATCACTGCAAAGAAACACAGAGCTGCTCTTATTAAAGAACAACAAGCAGTGCCTGGGCCTCTTCTTAATGACGTTTACAGTATATAGCACACTACCTGTAAGTATCTACAGTATATTTAATGTTCTTTCTTCCACCTATAGATCTTGGAGAGCTCCCACTCTCTCCTGAGCGTCCTGAAGCAGGAGACAGGAAACCTGAGTAAAGCCACAGAGCCTCGGAGGAAGGATCACTAGTGGCCAGGAAAGGTCAACAAACTCTCTTTTGGACCACAACAGCACTTTTAACTTTATACTCCTCTTTGGACCCTTCATGAAACATCAAATTGATTTATTGTCATACTTATTCTAATAAATGTTTCTTATCACTCCCATGTCTCTTCCTTATTGGCAAAACCCAACTCACGATTAGTAGCAAATATGTTGTTCCCCAGGAAGGAAAAGGACACGTATTTACATTTGTTCAAGTGTTCTATTTATTGAGCTTTCATTTGTACAAGTATGACATCACGTTTTTGTTTTATTTGCCCAAATCGTTGACAGTAATTACAGTAAGCACATCTGCTGCGATGGAGATTTACAGACGAGGGGGGAAAAGTAAACGAGAAGATGGAGAAGCTTCTACCACAGAGGCGCTACAGTGTGACCAACAAACTGCTCAGGAGGCAAACACATGTGCACTTCAGAAGTTCCATTAGTGGTCAAAAGAAAAGTCCTCGCCGGGATTATTTTAGACGATCAGTGGGGATTCCCAAAATCCACTTCCTTAAGTCCAAGGAAAGTTTCCCACAATAAGTGGACGTCCTCTTTTGGGTGTTGGACATTGAAGGTAGCAGTCAGCACAGATGGATCCACAGGTGTGTCGTCATGTGATTTAGCACCACAGCAGGTCCAAGTGAGGCCAAATTCAATGTAAAGAACCATACCAGTGTGTTTACAGATCATGTGTGACCACTTTGGCTGATTGTTTCCTCCCTTGATTCAAGCAGCCATTCATTTCCTTGTGGTATGAACATGTAATAGTAGACTTCTGATTTGTGGAATCCCTCAACCAGAACATCAAGTCTGCATTGAGTTTTGACAGTTACACTTAAGTGACCCTACATTATGCTAATGAATGATAGTAATGTAGTTTAAGGGCAGGATATTGAACGTTAACATGATTTTGTGAAGGATTGGAATATGTCTTTGGCATTGAGTAAAGAGAACAGAATGCTTATTCAGATTCCTCATCTTGTTTCAAGATCATTTGTTATTCTTGCATACCCAAGGGCGAAACAAAATGGAGAACATTCTTGATGAATGGAAGTAAATGGAAGCCAAGTTTCTATATCAAAAAACTTGAGTTTGAAACCTTGCTTTTAAAAATACTTGCCCAAAAACAGTCCTCGCACAGAGACAATGCTCACCTTCACGAGTTAAGAGACAGTTGTTTATGAGGCAGTGTCTTTAATCTGATGTTTTGATATAGTCACCTTTTGTTGAACACGGCCCGTTAACTTTAATTCATTAAGATTTTCTCACGTTTTGGACTTTGTCATCAAGAATTCGATTTTAAACAAGTTGATATTTTGTTGGGGGTATACTTTTAAGCTTCTAGTAGATTTTCATACCGTATAAAATAGAGTGGAAATCAATGGACATATTTTTCGGTTAAGAAATACATTCAAACTCTTAAACCACAGTCGCACGGTTTGCTCAATAGTAAAGTATATGGGATTTAAAATAAAATGGTCTAAAACTTGCAAAATCACTGGTATGGTCTTTGAATGATCAGCTCAACTGACCAAAAAACAGATTTTAGGCCAAACATGAGGCCCTCATCTGTGTGGATCGCTACAGTTTGTGTTCCGAGAGACAAGGACGACAATCATAAGACTTGATGTTGCAAGGATGCGGCAAACAGAGTAAAACGAGTGGTCATGGCATTCATCGGCAGTGCATTCATCGCATCCAATGGAAGAGTTGTATTCCAATTCTATTCTAAAAATGTTTTCTGCCTTACCCATGTACTGTATCTCACATACAATCACTGGGTGCAGAATAACAGGTGTAAAAAGTGGCTTTTGTTTGGAAACAAAACTCTTCAACTAGACTTCTTTAAAGTGCACATATCCTCTGTGGCCTTCTCATGAGGTGCAAAACAAGGCTAAAAGCAAGACAGTGCAAAGACATTAAACATCCAAGACTCCAGACAAAACAGAATTCCTACAATTCCTCAGACAAAGACCCTAACGTCTCCTTACAGCACAAACCTTCGAGGGCTGAAAACAAATGTCATCTGATTGGAGAAATTAAAGAAAAAGGACGAGAGTAAGAAATAAATCTTATGAAAACTGTACAACAATACTGGCCGAGGGACGGGAGCAGAACGAATGTGAGGCCGTTACAGCAACACTTTAATCACTTGGCATTATGCGTTAAAAAAATCTGGAAACATGGTGCATTCTTATATATAAAAAACAATCTTAATTAAAAAAAAAATCATTTCATATCCTTTCAAAACACACTCGCTCTCACAAACATGCCATATTATGAATGATCATAAGGACCGATTTCTTCCTCCGTGGAATGTGAAAGTACATGAGGTCCGACTGGAAAACAACAAAAAAAACATCCGTCCGCAACGGCAGATATCTTTACAAAAGTGGTTTTGTACACGAGCAGGTCTCTGACATGCAAACTTCAACTGTAAGCGGGGAATAAATACACGAGAAGCCAGGATAAAAAGTTGGCCAACAGCTTTTTTTAAACGGGATGCAGACACCTTGATATACGGAAACATTCTACAGTATGATGATCTTCATTTCGTCACCGGACGTACAGACATTATTGGCCAAGGTCACTTTTTTTCAAGCGTGTAATCATGGGGTGCATAATTCCCCTTCCTCGTCACGAATGGGGGAAAATGTGTTGAAGTTTGCTTGCTGTTAAGACTCTTCTGCTGCAGCTTCAATACAGCATAGTTTGCCAGAAGACATACAAAAACTCAAAAGGCATACGGAAGCTTTACAGTACAACCAAGCTTGTTGGCTGAAATCAACACATGCAGGTACAAAAACAAAACAATTGTGGCACCCTTTCGCAATTTTTTTGTGTTTGAGTGTGCCGGCGATCTACACAAGCAAACGCGTCCTCCACGTCCTAAATGACATGTTTCCATGCTAACACTGTTCCCGTGGCGACACCTACATGTGGGCACTGGCGGCCTCCTGTTCTCTGTAAGGAGTTTGGTCCCTTGCTTTTAAGCTCCCAAAAACCGGAGGCAAACGTTGAAGACTTGGAAGCAGATAATGACGGGGGGGGGCGGGGGGTTTGGAGAGGCCAGTCTAGATAGATTTCAAGCAATTTTGTGAGGGACGATGAGGACAGATCAACCGTCCGGGATCGCAGGATAAAGACAGTCCAGCTGCTTTGTTTTTTCAATGTGTTTGGTCAGGAGGAAGGTGGGAATCGAAACCTGGCAAATCTGCTCTGATATGCGGTTGATAACGTGGCATGTGTCGGTTCCGTGGCAGGAAATCAGACCAAAAACAGAATAACTAAATACTGTGTTGCCCTACGAGATCAGGACGATGTGCTTAGAGGCTGGTCCCACAGCTGTGATGCTACTGGACAGCTGTTGGTCCGCTGATCAGAAGTAAAGAGCCGGCTCGCTGCTGTAGTCCGACAGAGAGGAGCTGTCTGCGGGGGTCAGCTGAGGAGGAGAGATATCATGTTGTCATTATTTTAAACCTTTTAATATTCCTTTTTTATGGCAATATACTAATACAACACTCTCTGCTATATAACATGTGCAATATCATTATTATTAATAATGTTCTATAATAACGTGCAATTACGTATCTGCCACTACGTTTTGTTGCACTACTCAATACGGCTCGTCACTGTACAGTTTGACATTAATTCTTTGACTGTCTATGTTTCTTTAATTGCTCTTTTCACTGCACTGATAGTGCACAGTCATTTTATTATGCTGCTGTGTGTATTATATTTTTGTAACTCTGGCACAACAATGTCCTTCGGGATAAATAAAGTCCTATCTTATCTTATCTCTTATCTTACATAGAAATGTATTGAAGTGGTCGTCTTACAATATACTTGACTGTTAAGTGAGATACCGTTTATTTAGTCAGAGGCTTTGAGTTTTGTGTGATTTTAATTATTTTTGGAAGTTCAACCTCAGAACTTAATATAAGATTACCTGTAAAATGACAGACCCTTAAGGAGGAAAAGGTCCCCAGTATTGTCTTAATGATTAAATTGTTATATTGAAACCCCTCTCTCACCATCACTTCCTCCGTCATCTGAGTCGTCTGGGAGCCGTTCTCCTCCTGGTAAACACTGTCCTCATGTTTGTGCTCCTGCCAGGCGCTGAAGTCCACAGAGTGCTTGGGAATGTAGCTCGAAAGGTCTGCACACAACAATAAGACATGATGTGTTACTGACACGTTGTTGTTGTTGTTGTTGTTGTTGTTGCCTCTGTTAAAACCTCATTTATATTAATGTGTTGGAGAAATGATAATTTAATGAGATATTATTGAGTCATTTTTTCCAGATAGAGAATGAAAATGGAAACAGAAATAGCTCTGAAACTGTATCACACACTTTTTATTAAATGCTGTTCACACTTTGTCCAGTAGAGGTCTCTGTCATCATATCTGATGTTGTGTGTGGGAGGGATGCTGCTATAATAAAGAAGACAAGAAGCAGTGTCCTCATCAGACTACTTCTTGTTTCCCTGTTTCTATTACTTTACTCAGAAGCAAACATTTATTTCACAACATCTCCTTATAACACCTTTACAATGCAGGTGCTAACGGACGGGCTGCTTCATGTAAACTCACTACAAATACTATAATAAAATAAAACAGTATCTGTGTTTACCTATTGCAAGATCCAACATATCTATCATCAAACCATTTAGGAGTGGTGTCATTTAAGTTTCCAATGCCGGCTTGCGTATCTTTTTATTTGGTCATTATTAGCCATAACTGGTAGTTAGGGGGTAAATAATACATCTTGATTTCATCCCTCATAAAACTGAAGTGACTTATTGGTTGTTTGTCTGGTAAACACAACATGTCCCCAACTGACCTTCCATCATATTATTATTACTATTGTTATGTCTCTGGTTCATAATAAAGGTACAATATAATGTTGTTTTGCTGCACATTTCTCCTTCAGATGTTGTTGATCGTGCTGTCTGGTTATTTTGGTTCTTCTTTATCTATTTTTACCACTGTATAAAATTGTCCTATCCATATTTTGTCTTGCTAGTGCTTCTGATTTTATATTTCCTAACTACTACATCCTCAAAGGAGGTAATGTTTTTAGCTTGTTTCTCAGCGGGATTATGGAAAAAACACTGGCCTGATTTTCACGAAACTTGGGCATAAGCCTAGAAATAACCATTAACATTTCGGAGCCTACACAAATCACGATGCAGATAGACAATTATTCTTCCTTTTCATTAACATTGCGAGATATGCTATGTCTTGGTGGAGGTTTGAGCTCTCCGAGTTCTGTTGTTTTTACTTGATCTAATCTGTACCAGAAATTTTCTTTTTTAAACACAATTTGTATTTATACCCATAGAAAGATGAAAGCTGGTGGGATGTCAACAAGGGAAATTATGAATCCTCTGAGGAGCATGAATGTGCTTAAATGTAATAACAATGATGCCAGAAAATGTAGATGTTTGTGTATAACAAGTAGAACTTTCAGAGAGTTACCAGTTAAAACTTGTTATAGGGTTCACCCTCTGTGGACCATGACAATCAGCACGGACATTAAAGAGTCACTTGGCCATGGGACTTCAAGATACCTTGTTGTGGACTAGCTTTAGAAAACTAGAATATAGAAATAGAGAGTTTTGCTTGAGAGGTAAATTGAGAGGGCTGCCAAATTCATTAGGGATCATCCTATGGGGACCATGAATATTTCTATTCGCAGGAAATTTCCCAGCAACTTGTCCCAAAGCTGTGGTGATTTCTAGACCAAAGTGTTGGACAGAAGATAGACATTTTTATTCTGCTAAAACTCGACATCTAACCTGCATGTCTACCACAAAAACATCAAATGATTCTCACCATTACTGTTGTTGGTGTGCGTTGGGGAGATGGAGAAGCTGGGTCGGGGGATGTGGATGCGTCCCACCATGCTCGGCTGCTCGTCAGACACCTTCTCATCGTGCATCTCGTCCTCGTCTTCGTCCTCGTCCCCACTGTCCCATGCGCCGTTCTCCGACGGATACTCATACGTACTCTGGAGACTCGACTCATTGAATGAGATCTTGAGCTGCGGAAGACACAATCAGAGAAAGGAGAATTAGCGATTATCTATCAAAGTCAACACCACTTTGATTTGGCAATATTCTTGTTTTTGTAGTGATAAATGTTTTGTCCTAATGATGAAAAACAACATTGAGAGAAACAAAAAAAAATAGGTTAATAACATATTTTTTGTGTTGGAGACACATGGCGATACTAATATCCCCTGCCCGATTTTATTTTCTCTTCATTGGCACCTTGATAAAGAAAATAAAAACTGTGACTGGCACAACTAAACTTGGGCTGGTGCCTCTTCATGATGTGGAGCGAGTATTTCATTTTCTCTTAAAATGTAGTTGGCTGAAAATAACAAAATGAGACAATAAGGTTCAGTTTTTCCTGGTGAGAAAAACTGTTTTCACTAAATTATTATCCCCCCCCCAAACTTTGGTTAGTTTACACAGGGCAGGAGGAGACCAAGGCAATCCTCAAACTTGGTATAGTGACCTCAAAATTCACATTTAAAAAACCTTAATTAGCCCTATTATTCGTTTTGGTGTTTTCCCATTTCCTGTATTGTGTAAAAATAGAGTTTTGTCCCAAAGTTCACGCCAGAACTTCATAACATAATGACATCACTATGTTACACTTACGCTTTTATTGGCTAGCATCCAACACATTGTAAGTAACAGGCAAAAGGGGCGGGATATTTCTAAGAGGTTGACCAATCACAACAGAGCCTGCCAGCCAACCAATCAGAGCAGACTGGGCTCTGGTTTCAGACAGAGCGTGAAAAGAGGGCAGTATGAAACAAATAAAGACCTTTTTGAACATTAAAGCATGGAAACATGTCACAGTAAAGGCACAGAATACAATAATGAACCTGAACATGAGCACAATATATGTCCTCTTAATTCACCAGCGTTTTCTAGGGCTCTCAACAATCTTTTGGTCTTCATCAGCAGCTGGCATTTGCTCAATTTTACATTCATTATATAACAATGTAAACATATGTACTCATATAGAAGCACTGTTATCACTTGACTAAAGTTCAATACCCATGTCATGTGATGACTACTCCATCCACTGAAGATGTAGGTGAAAACTCCAGGAAGTTGTGATGTGGACTTTTCAAAGAACAGTTTATACAACACAAACATCACTCCTCTGCATTATACAGCGCAGTAAACGTGAACAGGTTATGACTTCCTTATTGCTCTGTAATGAAACCATCTATACTGAACTCTATCACATGTCCCAGACTTTTGCTAACGCTGCAGTAACACCAATTTATCTCAACACCAACTATTAGCTCATAACTTATTCAACGGTGTTTTTTAAAATGAGGTGTTTTGGAGAGCCAGCTGCAGTTTGTTTAGGCTGCATGTTCTGAACTTCACGTGTCCTCTAAAGGGGACAGGTGGTGGCCTTGCAGGAGCTCCGACCTGTGATTGGTTGCCTTAGAGGGCTCTCTGTAAGACATGTCTGTTTGGCAACGCTTCAGTGGTTTGCAAACATGGCTCCGTGTGGCGAGACGGGCCCTTGCACTTTGCTTCACCGTGTAATCTGACGTGAACATGGCTACTCTGGCAGCAGGGACTTTGTGGTTTTAGCCAGTGAGCACGCTGACTGGCAGTTATCCTCAAAGGGGACATCTTTAGAGGAACAATTCGACAGGTTTTCCGAGAGGTTGGTGCACCAATCGACCTTTTTAAGGATCATTTCTGTAACATTCAAAGAGAAGATGGTCCAAAAAAACGTAGACTTTTTAGCATCTTTGCTCGATTTTGTTCATTGTTCTTAAAGTCAATGGGTGTTTTTAAAGTTTTTATTTTTTTGATGCCTGAAATAAGATCTGTGGCTAACACAAGCGGAAAATATTTTTTACATTTTACTTTAAAAGAACAGTAAATACCCCTATCGTGAATTTGTAACCTTTTACGTGCTGGGTAGACATGTGGTTGAATCATTTATTGATTGAAAAGCAGTTCCTAAATTAGACTGCAGGTCTTTCTAGGACACTAAAGAAAATCACGCCTTCAGAGCTTTGTTGAGTTTAAACATGCACTTTTGCAAATATTTACGATCCATCTTAAATGATGCTAAGTGGAAAGGCATTTCTATAAAAAAGAAAGCGTAGAGAATCATTGTTTGGTCATGCAACTGTGGTGTAGTTTGCCTTTAGCTTTTTACTTCTGGCTTTTTACTTGAAAACCCATTAAAGCGGGGTTCATTTCTTGCTGAAAGAAATGCATAATCATCAGAAACATGTGTTTGCCAGGGAGCTTATTTTGTGCAATAATCCAAAACCCTAAGGAAAAATTCCATTGGCTTTTCGTTAAGGTAACCAGGGCAATGCTCATTTAAAAAAAGTCATCCCTACACCCTTCCATTCTGAATCATAAAAATTATTCCATTAATAGATCTCTATTTTATTTGTGTGTGATTTCATTTGGTTGTGCAGTCATGACTCTCTAGTGGCCCACACAAATCTGATGGATAGATTCAGAATGACCGTAGATGGTTTCTAATAAGCAAACGCAGCACGACAGCTCATAAAAGCTTTTATTTTTCTCTGCCGAGTTTCCATGGAGATGATAGCCAACACACACACACATACAACAGTGTGTGTGTCCATGTCTTCTCAGCTGATTGCTCTTAACGTATAGTACCTGGCTCCCTCTACTCCGAAGTCCATGATCTAAATCTGCAGTAATCTCCATCACAAGGCCACAGCCAGCAACCAGTCAGGGTTCCCCCTAAAGCCGCAATTTAAAGGTCACCTATTATGCAAAATCCACTTTTTCATGTCTTTTCTACATCAACATGTGTCCCCTCTGTGTAAAGAGACTCTGAAAGATTCAGGAAAAAAGATTTTCTCACTTTTTGTCCTGATCCATTTATATAAAAACCTGTCTGAAAATGAGCTGATCAGATTTTGGCCTCTTTATGATGTCATAACGATTTTTTGGCTTGGGTAACCAGGAGCCAATCAGCAACCAAGGTAAATACCAGCGTCTATAGATTATAGATAAGGATCGCTTCATTGAATAGAAAACACTACCCAATGACATAGTCAACAACTCAAATAGATCTAAGCATGTGGCCATAGTGGTTTTCCACCAAGGGTTATACCAGGCTATTTCATTAATATGAAGGCATTATAATTGTTCAAAAACGGATCAGATGCCAAGGCATTTTCTTGTCATATGAAAGAGAAATCGATTCCCAAGGATTAGGGTCTATAGACTGAATAAGAGTGTCTATATCCCGAGGGCCTATAGCTTAAAGACGGGGGTCTTGAAATGATGGACTATAGATTCCAAATGAATGTTGGTAGATTAAAGACCAGATTTACTGATGAGGGTCTGTTTCAGAACAAGCTCTATAGATTAAAGACAAAGGTATTTAGACTCTTTGTGAGAGTCTTAAGGCTAACGACTTAGACTTATGATAGCAGAAGTCTTTAAGATGGTGGAGAGTCTATAGTTGCCAGATAAGGGTCTATAGATTCAGAATGAGCTTCTATAGATTTATGAAAACATGATATGGTCTAAGGACAGGTGCCTATGCTTCAGGATTAGGGTAGTTACTATACTAAGGACAAGGGTCCATAGACGACTGATTAAGGATCTATAGATTATGGACAAAGATCTTTGATCGATCCCCAATTTCTCTTCCAACTTTTATGGAATAATTTCCTCCACTGGACCTTCCTTATTGTGCGTTGATGATTTGATAGCTGCCTAATATCTGATTAAGGTTAATAAAAATTATTGGATTATTAAAATCCAAAAGCAGATAATGATATCAGTAATAAGGCTGTGTTGTTTTGCTTTCAAATGGGTCTTCGTGTCATGTCAGAGGGTAAACTACACGTCACCAGGAAGGAGCTGCCATCCAAGGACGAACTTTACACCCATCGATCCACGAAGAAGGAATTATGAGGTGGGTTTTGTATGCCTTGATTTCTTGTTACATATTTAATAAGCTTTATGTGAGCCAGAGATCCAAGATTTCCATTTCCAAAGACTGCTGCTCTGTAATTGTTGGGTACATGACAATGAATAACCTGAAACTTGAGGCGGCAGTGTGGTGTAGGACGAGGGTTTAGAGAACAGTCCGTAAACCCTGTGAACTAAACAAGGGGCCTTTACAAGAGTAACCTTTCAACCAATTACTCACTAATGTTACCTAATGATAAGTACTACTCAGTGTGGGTTTTCCGGGTTATTACACATGTCACAATGCCTACAAACAGTAGTCATTTTACGTTTCGTCCTCTAGTTTCTCAAGGTTTGGAAAGGAGGTATTTTAAATAAATACCATCGACCTTTTTTGTACGATAACAAAGATTTCTCAGGGATAATGTCTCGTTATCGGAGAAGATAGGGAGTAGACATAAATGCGATGGTTTGAGAAAGGAAATCCTCAAAGTTCCCTCCAATGAAACTAAATTCACTTTTAGTTTTCATTACAAAATATTCCAGATGTAGGTTTCTTTCAATACTGACCGAACTATGAGTAGACAGATCTCACTCTTCAGTCACTGGATTGTCAACCAAACAGCCGGATTAGCTTCCCACATACATATGCAGCCATAGTAACAGATACAGGCTTTGACACTACGTATGTTACCATCCAAACAAAGAGCCTTCAGTCCCAGTAGTGCTTATTTTTAGCCTCAAAACCTGTGTTGAATCTTACACCACAGAAAAAGCATTTTCGTGGTAAACTGCCATCCTGTCTTAGAGGAAGTATCTGGATGACAGAAGCGAGTCTATCAATAAATCACGCTAGCCGCTGGGCTCGTTTCCTCTTCAACTGTCTTTCACTTTTCTTTTTTGTCTCGTCTAGCAGCACTCTTCTTCCAATAGACTCCTTTGAAATGCCTTAGTGCATGTCCTCTCTCTTAGTTAGCGGCAGCAAGGATACAACTTATAGAAGGAGAAACTAAAAAATGGGGTTAATAGAACTGGGTTCTTTGTGTATCCCAGCCTGCTGCGTCTCGTGTTTGAGCGTCGGCGG